TTTTTTTTTCGGAAGTATTGAACAAGCTTGCAGTTTACTTCTTAAAACAGGACTTGCTAGGCCTGGGCCAAAGACTTACATGCAAACACGCATTGAGTACTCTGCATTTCATTAGAAAAAGCGCATATTTACGTTCTGACATTTATTGATTACCAGTTGACTTACTGATTTACCTACAATTACTAAAATGACACTTCGTACTCCTGTCATACAGTATTGAATGAACCATGTCTGACGGCATAGGCCGCATGGTCTTCAGGCGTAAGGCATGCGTTTCAGTGGATTATACCGCTGGATTACTGTCTTGCAGGTTTTTGACCTTGCGAGCAGATTACAAGCACATATAGGGTGTGTATCCACGCCCTATAGACAAAGTAATCTGTTGGCGTCTGTGATAAACACCTTTGTAAACTGTCCCCGTCGGTTAGCCAGCTACACTGCGCCTTCAAGACACACCCCGTCCGCCACTGAATACCGACAATATCAAGTCGTTTAGTTTAATGGTCAATTATCTCGGGGCCACCTCGGACTAGCTGCAAGGCTCGATTCTCTACCTCTGTCCTTGATAAACACATAACCACAAGTCGCCACCGCTTTCCAGTGGCGTTCGCAGTGTTTGTTTTCCTCTCGCGCGGCGGCTCCACCCTATTGGTCTCGGCCAAGGTGTTCTGACTTGTCGTGGTTCACTACGTCTGTCTAACCGCACGCATGTATATATTCCCTGCCATCTAGCCTCAGCACACACTCTCACAAAGCGTGCGCCCAAACTTTTGCTACCTTCTTCGACGAAAAGAACAATGGCCTGCAACAACCAAGGCGATGCCGATATGACTGCTAAGAAGGCGATTGTTGGAGACCGCCGTTTCGGTTTCTTGGGCTCGGGCCAGATGTCTCAGGCCATTGCCAGAGGTCTTCTCAGTGGTGGTGAGTGTACTTAAAAATTTACTGCCACACTAATTAATCTGGTTTACTATTGAAACCAATGTTAAATGGCCAGTGTGGTTTGTGCAGTATTAACTGAAACACATAAGAATGTTGATCGAAATAGTTAACTTTACTTTTGGTCTATGATTATTACTGTAGAGCGTTGTGGCTCGGAATAGCAGTGGAAGAGAACTAATGAACCCTCGAATGGTAGACATATCCTTAATACACTAGCTTTACTGATGAGCCTGCAACATACTTGCAACTCGGTCGCTAAACGAGGAAATAATGGATTTTATATGCTCAACTTCTCATCCATCTGCGTCAATCCCAAGCACAAAATCACTATTTTAGTGCGGTAGTATTTTTAACGTACATTTATTAATCGGAAAATATTTCTAATAAGTTTTACTTGGATCCCAAACATTTTCTCACAGTACAGTCCTAGGTGTATCGCTATTTGCATCCTGGTCTTGACCTCTTATTGTCATCTGCTTTCAACCCATTAACAGACTAACTTTTCTCCACGCTTCTTTCCTAGGTCTCCTTCAGGGAACTCATGTCACCATGTCAGACATTTTTGGAACCGGACCGGAAGATGCCAGGGTAAATTTTAAATAAACTGAAATGATGCATATTTTCATATATAGACCGTTTTGTCGTAGAATAGTTCTCCGTTTCAATTATTTATTCTGCTACTGCATCCAATTTTAATACATTCTATGTTTACCTTCTTTCAGTTTTATGCGCCCATCAAGAAGATGAAGGAGGTAGGTGGTCCTTACATTTCTGCCACCCCTTGTACACTTAGCACTTTTTAATTAGTTATTTTATGTTTGCTGAGGAAATTTGAGGACCGTAGAAGTTTACAGACTCAAATGGTGTCCTACATCAGTCATTCTTAGGTGGTTACTCTAAGACAGAAATCGTTTTCTACTGGTCACTGCTCATGCTTTTGGCATTTAGTACAACACGTTGACGCACTGAGTCCTTAGCAGTAATCCTACCAGGAGTTTATCTCAAAGGTTTTCGCCTAATACATCTCCATTTTTCTATCCCTTCATTATAATCGTCCTATGGTTCAAAAAAGACTAGTCAAGTGCGTTTGGGCACTTGGCTAACGTCACATATCGAAGTCTTTGTGCTTGCTGGGGCTTTGCTAAGGCAGTCAACGTTTGCTAGACTGCGACTGGAATCGCGGCAGGCTGACCAATGTCCACAATGGCCCCCGTTGCCTTCATTGACTTCGAGGGTTTTAGGACAAATTTCAATTCCGTCTCGAGCGAAGCCTATTGTTTCTCAATCCTCCGAGTTTATCGTAGTTTCTGACTTTCTTTCAGGCGTACGGCATCGAGTACGTTCAAGACAACATCCCCATGGTTAAGAAGAGTGATGTAATCTTTTTGTGTGTGAAGCCCAATCTCGCTCAGACTGTCCTCCGTGCATGCGGCGACACACTTGCCAACAAGCTTGTCATTTCAATCGCCGCAGGCGTGACTGTCGGTGATTTGGAGGCCGTGAGTTTAATTTCATTTTTCTTTTTTAGCGTTAATTGCATTTCCCTTTTCGGTTGTAAGGGATTCCATAAGACTAGTAATACCTGTTTTCGGCCGACAATCGAAATGTTGGCATGGAGAATGAAACAACGCAAGCTAGGGGTGGAGACCTTCTTAGCATGATGTAATTTGTACATGTTTTGTGGAGAGTTTCAAAATATAGTTGCTTCGAAACTGTGAGAATGCTAATCTAGTCAGTGTTAGTCTGTTTAGATTGCTTTTCTAGAACGTGCCTATTAAGTTAACCTTTGCATACTTTTCGCTATGATCGTTTGTCCGGGCCATGTTTCATCATTGATTACTAAGAATGTCGGGAATAAAACCACTGCGCCGGAGAACAGATACGCCACACATGTATTGTCACACACACAGAGAGAGAGAGAGAGAATGCTTTATTTTGAAGGTAATATCCAGAACGATGAGGAATACAAAAAGGCTTGAAAATTGTCTCTAGTTTATTCACTAACAACGTTCGATAACTCGAAAACACCCGATAAATCGACATTAAATCCAAACAGAATAGAGGGAGCAAAGCTTTAAGCCAAGATTGCGGGCTGAGTGAGACTCCGCGTGATTACATATTCATTTTTCAACCATTTCCAGTTCTGTTGACGGTGCCATATTGTGTACTTTCCAGCGGACTTTGAGAGTTATTAGTCAGCAAAATATCTGAGGTAATTGTAAGCCTCCATTTAATTTGTAAAGTTTGAAAATCCTGTAAAAGGAGTTAAACGCTATTTCTTTCTGAAACTTGCTAAAACCTTACTTGACAGGTTGATTTTTAGAGATAATGTTACT